TCTCTCTCTCTCTCTCTCTCTCTCTCTCTCTCTGTCTCTCCCTGTCTCTGCCTCTTTCTCTCTAATTTTTGTCTGTGCAGAGTATTGGCACTCCAAACCCCCGTGTTGTTCAAGGGTCAATTGTGTACATTTTATCATAAAAGTTAGGAGCTTAAAAAGAATGGGAGATGAGCTGTACTATATACAGAATAAAGACAGATGTGACCAGAGCACTGTTTGTTCTTCAAAAATCTTTATTCTTTATCATCCACATAAATTTGTTTTCCTACCAGGCCTTTTTCAGGGGAAATGAGACAAAAGAAAGTGAATTAGAATAAAGGTTAAAATAAAGAAATAAAAGGTAGACGTAAGAGGAGGGCTAACAAGATTCCTTAGGCTTTCATCTTTAGTCTTGCTACTCAGATTTTATAGGGTAGTATATTACAGAAACAAAACAATGAAAATTCACTTGATCATATGTAATATAATGTGCATAGAGCAAATACTTGTGAAAAAGCTTTTCGATGCAATTAATGTGCCTCCAAGAAATTCACAGGTTGACAAAAGCCCAGGCCTACAGAAATTTTCCTTAGCAGTGTTCCTCATTAGCGACAGGGGCTGGTGAAGCATGAAGCCCGTGCAAGGAACAGGGTGGTTGTGAGGAAACCAAAAGCAAAGAGGTTACAACTTTGCCAGGTTTAACTGTTGCCATGGAAACTTGCTTCAGCAGGTTTTCTAAAGGATGAACTTGTTTAGGTGATCATTGAGCAGTATCTGAGACCTATCGCTTTAGATCAAAAGAAATGTTTTGGAAGAAGTATGTGAGTGATTGTGCTATTTTGCCAATCAGAAACCCATTTATTCTGTGGTATATTTGTGCTGATATTTAGACATGACTTAATGTGCCATTTCCTATACACTATGTCAGGGAAATATGTCTGCCTTTGCCACTTATTATCTGTGTGACCTGGAGTAAGTTACCAACCTTCTTTGCAGCCCAGGTTGCTCAGCTTTAAAAAAAGTCCAGTGACTAATTAACTCATGTCTATTAAAGCAGTTAAATAGGTAATGCATGTAGCATATGCCGAACGTAGGGTGAGCATTCAAAAAATGATTTTTCATTATGTTCCAAAGAAAAACCATCAGTGTAAAGTACCATTGCTCAGTATTTAACTTGAGTCTGATATCTACATTTTACAAGATAATATGAAATTAGAGAAAAACAATTCCTAATTTTATAAAATGACCTATATACTGAGAAATGTTTATTTTATTGATGGTTAGAAGAGCATTTTGAAAAATCAACCATTTGGAGTGTTAGCAGATAAAAAACTCCATTTGTCAAAATAAAAGCTCATGCTGTTGAAAGTATAACCGCTATAATTACTATTCCTATTAGATTTGTTTGTAATGCTCTCTTCAGACAAACAGAATCTCCATCAAGTCAATGATGCTGGGTCTTAAAGAGTTGCTTTTGCTCACTACTGTTACTTCTGTTGTGCCTATAGTGTTTCTAGAACCATCTAACAGCTTTCCTGTCATTCAAAAAACTCAAGTATGAACAGTCAAGCTTTTATTTACTTTTGTTCCCTTTTGGATTGGCCTTAGCCAGAACAGAGGAATACAGGGAACAAAGTAGTCACGGGTGCATATACTGTGGAAAAATTATCACCTTTGAAACATATTCTCAAAGTCAGGATTTACTGCATTTGGTTTGACGGTTCATTGTTGACAGTTGCTGAGTGTAATGTTATCCTTTTAATAAGTTTACAAGAATCTGATTACCTGTCTCTTCTACTGTAGCTCATTAATAACCAAAAACAAAGATGTAATTTAAAAATGTAATTATTGCCTGGCCGGGCGTGGCTCAGCGGTTGAGCATCGACCTAGGATCCAGGAGATCGGGGTTCGATTCCCGGTCAGGGCACAGGCCCAGGTTGTGGGCTCGATCCCCCTCTCCATCATTGATGTTTCTCTCTCTCTCCCTCTCTCTCTCTGAAATCAATAAAGATATATTTTAAAAAAATAAAATAAAAATTAAAATGTAATTGTTTAGAAATAAAATTAAAGTTACACTGCCAAGAAAAAGGATTTTCCCTAGAAAAAATTAAGTAAAAATTAGCGGCATAATTCTGACTACAGTGCATTGTTTTCAAGTGTCCTTTCAATTAAAACATAAGCTACTAAATAGGCCTGTAATTGCTTCCACGGTTCTCCTCATCCATTTCCTTTGTCTTAAGCTACGTATTTAATTTCTCATTTTGGTCTATGACATATGGTCTTGTCATACTCATATGGGACTTTTGAATTGTTTTACAAATGCTCATCCAATTTCTCTTTGTTAAGGGATAATAAAGATGCAATAACGTTTAAATAGCTGTGTTGGAGGAAGAAAAATATGCTGAGTAAATAAATGGACTAAAATGAGAAAGAATGGAAAAGTAGTGTACTTTTAACTCTTGGGAGTATTTCCTAGTATTTGAAATATTGGTTAGGTTTCCTTATTACTCAGTGCACACGTATTGTTTAACATGTTATTTTATCTCAGTAACAGTTTTATTGAACAGAATCATTTTCTTAGTTTCCTTTGCAAATTGTTCATTGCTAATATATAGGAATTTAACTGATTTTGTGTGTTGATTTTGTATCCTGCATATTATACTGCTGAGTGCATTTATTAGGTCCAACTTTTTTGTGTAGACTCATTAAGGTTTTCTACACATAAGATTGTGCCATCTGCAGACAGAGATGATTTTACTTCTTCCTTCCCAACTTGGATGCCTTTACTACTATATCTTGCATAATTGCTGTGGTTAGAAATTCCAGTACTATGTTGGATAGAAATGACAAAACCAGACATGCTTGTCTTTTACCAATCTTAGAGAAAATGTCTTTAGTTTTTCACAGTTGAGAATAATGTTAGCTGAGGATTTCTAATATATGGCCATTATCATTTTGAGGAAGTTCTCCTATTCCTGTTTTATTTTATCAGGAAAAGCTGTTGAATTTTGTCAAATACTTTTAATCCATCCATCGAGAAGATCTTGTGTTTTTTCCCTTTGTTCTGTTAATGTGGTATGTTGCCCTGATTGGTTTTTGTATGTTGAACCACCCTCCACTCATTCACTTTTCTGAAAACTGATACAGTTCTATTATTTGCCACATTTTAAAAGTTCTTATAAGAAAGCTATTTAAAAATTGTTATTTCAGTGGAGATTTTGAAAGAATTTTCTTGAACTGACTAAACTGTTCTGTACCACCATCAGATTTAATCCTGATACTAAAATAAAGAATTTGTGTTTTTCTTTGTATTTATTAGTTTCAAGCTAGAGCAACTTTAATATCTGAAACTGATCTTTCATTTTAGAAAACTAATCCCTGGTTAATCTGACATCTTGTACCTATGTGTTGTAGGTAAACTTTCATTTTCCATTAAAAGCAGACAAGATGATGGTTCTGAGAGAGACTCAGATGAAGACTCAGATGAAGATGAAGACTCAGATGAAGACTTAGATGAAGATGAAGATGAAGATGAAATTCAAGATCAAGATGGAGTACCTGTTTTTCGGAAATCAATGTCAGAACAATCGATCAAGCTTGATACGGAAGACTCAGGTAAATTTATTATTATGGAGAGCTTCACGACCAGTATTCATAATTGGCTTATGGGTAGATACTTTACATTCATAATAAATATACAAATGTGCTGCATATATTTGTCAGAATTTTATTGTATTATTTTAGTATTAAATTTATGTAGCTTAATTTCTGGATTTGATTTGCTATTAACATTAATAGTTTATAATCCTTCAGCTTGAAAGCTGCCTACTCTTTCATAAGTGAAAAACTTCATATATATTTCTGTTATTAAACAAACAGCAGTACATTTCTGATAAAATATTAATGAGTGTATTATTTTAACAATGAAATATGCTTTTCTTCAACATAGGATGTGATAAGTCTTCCTCATGCAAAAGAAAATAAATACTATTGTTTTTCCTATCTATATTTTAAACTTTATTTGCATGTTATTAAATATCACATCTTTTTAGTAGAAATTCAAGGGAAAATGAGATGATGGAGCATGCGAATAGACAAGGGAGAGTTCCTGGAGAATGGGGGAATGAGTTTTCTTATGTGTAAGTAGCAGGGACATAAGAGGGCATTAGAGAAAAGTTGGTCAACAGGAGAAAAGTTGTGGGGACAAACTTATCCCAAAGAAGAAATCTTTATTAAATGAATTTGTATTTAGTCAGATTCTTCAGAGAAACAGGTACCACCATAATATTATAATATAATATAAAGTAATGTATTATAAATAGAGGTATTTTAAGGACTTGGCTAATATGCTTGTGGGGACTGGCAATTTCAACATGTGTGGGGCAAGCCAGCAGAGTAGAAAATTAGGTGAGTTGCTGTTGAAGTATCGTGTCCGAATGATACCTGGCAGACCAGGCAGGCTGCAAGCTCAGGCAGGGTCTCCATGTTCCAGTCTCAACTAAGAACTGCTGCTTCTTCAGGAAACCTTAGTTTTTGCTCTGAGGGCCTCGAACTGAATGGAGGCGGCCCACCCACATTATGCAGGGTAATCTGCTTTACTCGAAGTCTATTGATGTAAGTTTTCATCACATTAAAAAAATACTTTCACAGCAGCATCTGGACTGGTGCTTAACCAAAAACTGGACAACATAGCCCAGCCAAATAGACACATAAAATTAACCATCACAGAATACATGCAATAAGAGTGATATTTTGACAATATTCAAAATGGCTTGGGAAGGGAAAAACAGTTGGAACCAGCTAGGCCAATGCAACAGCAAATGGTGTTTGAAGGGACGAGAGCAATGTCTTTTACGGTAGTGATGGCGATAGAGAAATACCACTGAAGATGGAAAACATTTTAGAAACTAGCACTACATGACTCTCTCGAGAAAGGAGAGAGAAAGAGAGGATTGATTCCACAAAAAACAAGGTTTGTATCTTGGGGAATAGAAAAATATTAAAATAAAATGTAGAAGTATTGTGACTTTTAAGTTAACATTTGCTACGTAGAGCCCCCAGGGGTGTCAGATGGTGGTGAGTCAAGGTTCAGCAAGACTGGGAGGGAAAGTGAAATAGAGAATTTTGTTAAGCACAGGTCCAGGAGGAGGCTGTCTAGATGCCTCCAGGGGCTCCAAGGGGAGATCAAGGCAGGGTGCGGGCAGAAAGAGAAGAAGGACCTGGGCACATGCTTTTATTAGGGTCTTTGGATGGGACGCTTTGGGCTTCCCAGGCTAAAACCACATTGGTCAATTCAGACCAAAAAGAGTGGGATTTTGGTAAGCTTCATAGGTGGTCTTATCTAAGGGGCACACAAGGGAAAGGCCCTGGGAGGCTGGGGAGGGTACTTAGCACAGGGGTGGCTGTGGGAGTCATGCTATGAATTTACATTTACTTGTGACTCCGCTGGGCTGCTTTTAGGTTATGCACTTTGGGGCAGGGCTAGTGTCCCTCGGCCACACCAAACGGAAGCGGAGGCAGTAATGTGATGGTGTAGTTTAGTTAAACTCAACAAGAAAAAGTAAGTCTGGGAGATTATAATGCTTAGCACGGTTTTGTGTCTCCTGATTTGGATGTGACAGCAAACCATTTTCATGGCAATATTCAGTCATCAATTGAATATTTGGAGCTGAGACAAGGTGAAAAAATAATAAAACAGGTTGTAAAAGTTTAGGGATTCTTCAGTTGGAATCATGCAGGTGAGACAAGGAGCAGATGCCTGTTATAGATGGATTATGCTAAGAGTGAAACCCTTATCAAAATCTAAGGCAGAAGAACCATGTAGGAAAACCAGGTAAAAGTGTTTAGAAGAGTTTGAAAGAAAATCAGAAGACTATCATGACATGTTAATGGACTCAAGTGGAATGCTATCTAATTTCGAAAATCTAAGCTGCACCATGACAGGTTACAAGATAAAGACCTAGGAAAAATGCATCTAGTAACATTGCCGTTATCCCCAGTTCTTCAGACGGGCCTGCCCACGTCCATGCTCTGGCAGGATTCACCTTTCTATCACCTGTAATAACATGGGCCCCTTTTTTACTAACTCCTCAGTAGTACATTTCTTTTCAGTTAGGGAAGTTTCAGTTACGCAAAATGAGTAGTAAGTTCTGGAAACTTAATGTACGACAATGTGATTATACCTAAAATATGATAGTGTATGCTTGAAATTTGCTTAGAATGTAGATCCTAAGTGTCTTCACCTCCCCCCAACTGAAAAATAGTAACTACGTAAGATGATGGACGTGTTATTTAGTTTGAATGTGGTGATTGTTTCAAAATGTATATGTATATCAAATCAAGTTGTACACCTTAAATATATATAATTTTTAAATCAGCTATACCTTAATAAAGCTGGGACAAAAAAAAGAAATGAAAATAACTAAATAAGATTTTTTTAACCTTCCAAATAGGGAAATATGAAAAATAATGGTAACATCTCGTTTTTAATGATGGTTGGACTTAAAGAGATAATCTTATGCATTATAATGGGATTTTCAATTGATAAAAATGTGAAGAGAGCATTTACAATATGTTTTAAACTTTTAAGAATTGTTTACCCCTTTGACCCAATGATTTTAGTCCAAGAAATTTTTGGGAACAAAGTAAATATATGCACAAATATTCTTATGTAAGAATGTTCCTTATTTAATTATGTTGAAGAATTGAAAGTTATAGTTTTAATTTTAAAATTTAATTGAAAATGTTTTTGAATAGTTATTAGCTGCACATAAATAGTTTTTTTGCAGTTTTATTGAGAAATAATTGACATATAACACTGTACACCTTTAAGGCATGCAGCGTGATGGTGTGGTTGACTGCATGTATTATGAAATGATTACTACGGTAGGCTCCGCTAAATCCATCTTCTCATATAGATACGATAAAAAGAAAAGAAAGAAGAAATGAACAGAGGAGAAGAAATTCTCCTTGTGATTAGAACTCTTAGGATTTACTCTCTTAGCAACTTTCCTCTATATTATTATACAGTAACCTTAACTATAGTGATCATGCTGCGGTTACATCCCCGGTACATGTTTATCTTATCATTGGAAGTTTGTGTCTGTCCATTTCTCCCGACCCCCACCTCTAGGAACCACGAGTTTGATCTCTTTTTCTGTGAGTTTTGTGGGCTTTTGGTTGGTTTGCTTGTTTTTTAGATGTGTGACCTAATTCACTTAGCATAATGTCTTCGAGGTTCATCCACATTGTCACAAATGGTCAAATTTTTCATTTTTTTTTTTTTTTTTTTATGGCTGAATAATATTCGGTTGTATGTATACACCACAGCTTCTTTATCCATTCATTCATCAGTGGGCACTTAGGTTGTTTCCGTGTCTTGGCTATTGTAAATAAAGCTGCTATGAAAATGGGCATGCAGATATCTTTTCAGGTTAGTGATTTTGTTTCCTTTGGATATATTCCCAGAAGTGACATTGCTGGATCACATGATAGTTCTGTTTTTAATTTTTTGAGGATCTTCCATACTGTTTTCCATAGCAGCTGTACAATGTACAATCCTCCCAAGAGTGTGCACAAGGGTTTCCTTTTCCCCACATCCACACCAGCCTTTGTTATAGCTTGTCTTTCTGGTGATGATCATTTAACAGGTATGAGGCGATATCTCATTGTGGTATGAATTTGCATTTCCCTAATGACTAGTGATGAAACAAATTTTAATAGCAAATATTCTCTGAATTATAGGAATGTGTGTACTCACTTTTATGAATATATCATTATATATAATTTGTAAATCCCAGAGTGTGTGTGTGTGTGTGTGTGTGTGTGTGTCTTTATTGATATATTAAGCCTGGAATTTTATACATAAAAATGAAGTAGTGTACTCTTGGTTATGAGATGATGAATAATTTCCATTTTCTTTAAGATTTTCAAGAATTTCTCAAATTACTATAGTGAATGTTACTGATTTTATAATTAGAAAAAAGTTTTAGTATACTTAATCTCTGTAGTTAAACATTTTATTATTATTTTTGTTGTTTTTCTCATCAGTAAATCATCACTAATCTCAACCATTGAATTCATATTTGATGTACATTTTTTAGCACTGTAGGAATTAAATCAGCTTCATCACAACATTGCTTTATGTGATGATCACAGCAATTACAAATAGTAGGTGTATTGTCCTGGTGATAGTTTTATGTGTCAACCTGACTGGGCCATGGTGACCAGATATTAGGTCAGATATTATTCTGGATTTTTCTCTGAAGGTGATTTTGGATAAGAATTACATTTAACCTGTGTTCTTTGACTAAATCAGATTGCCTTCCATAATGCGGGCCTTACCTAGTAAATTGAAGGTCATTATGAAACAAAGGCTGACCTCCTCTGAGCCAGAAGGAATTCTGTCAGTAGACAGCCTTTGGACTCCAATTACAACTCTTCCTTGAGAGCTGGAGAGCTGGCTTATCCTGTAGATTTTGGATTTACCAAGCCAATTAAGTGAGCCATTTCCAACACACACACACACACACACACACACACACACACACCTGTGGTTCCCTATTCTAATAAAGCCCCCACAGATGGGCAGACTATTTTACTGCTCTTTGTACTAACCCAGAGTAATGGAGCATTCGGTCTTCTTATAGACACCTTTCTTTTCAGAATTATTTCCTTGATGAGTTCAATGTAGACTAAAGCATTGGAAAAAATCCATAAAATATACATGAACTAGAAGGGGAAAGACTTTTCATTTTAAGAACATAGGTCTGTTGTGGGATGTCACATTTAAACATTGTAAGAACATTTAAAGCCTTTTCAGAGAATTAAAGGAGCAGCTAATATAAATGTGACAAGAGGTTTCTCAGTAATCTAACATCAAATATAAATTTGTTAACTTATTCTTTGTACGTTAATGGTTTTAAGGTAATTAATTGGTGTCCATAAAATAAGTAAGCACAGGAGGCAATTCAAAATGTGGAGGTAAGTTTCACCTCAAGACCTTCTCACAAGCATTTGTAATAAGTACTCACCTAGATCTGCTCTCTCACTAGCTGATGTCTGAATTGTTCTCAGCTCCACTGATTTGATAAGTGCTTCTTGATAGCTAAACTATTAGAATAGGCCATTATACAATATAATGCAAGACAATATGGTACAAAACAGTGAAGTACAATACTATAAGATACAGTACCATATACTACACTATACAATGACAAGCAATACCTTACAATGCCTTACAATACAACGCAGTGCGATGCGATGCAAGACAATACACTCTTTCAAAAGAGAGAGACACTGAGAATTCCACTAGTCTGGGTCCCTTATTTCAAAGATGAGAAAACAGGCCCAAAGAGGCTAGTGATTGATCTAAGTAATTTAGTCAAATATATCAGTTCTTGGAATCTTTAAAACATAACAATACTGATAGGAAAATTCATATGATTAACTGAACCTGGAGGACACCTTAAACTGCAAACTAAGTTAATGCTGAAGAATAAAGAATATCAGAGTGAGAAGCTGAACAGATGAGAACAAATGGAAAGAGCCTGTGCTTGATGCCAGTATAATTGCTGCTACACAGGGCTGTTGCGGTAGACGAGGGTTCCGGTTTCTGACTGTGGAAGTGTGACTTTGGTCATTACCAGCAACAGAATATTGAGAACCCAATTATAAACATAACTTTCCACTTGGTCCAAAACCCATTGCAACTTTCTTTGGGCTAAATCGCTAGGATCCGTTTTCACCATCCCAGGAAACCAGAAATCTCATGAATTATTCCTGACTTTGTCTTTAGCAATTATGGAGAAAAAAAGATTGATTGTTTCTTTTGAAATATTAATCCTTAACTTAAAAACACCCAGCCCTGGCTGGTGTGGCTTGTTTAGGCATCGTCCCATGCACTGGAAGGCTGCCAGTCTGATTCCTGGTCAGGGCACATGCCCAGGTTGCAGGCTCGATCCCCGGCAGGGGGCGTGCAGGAGGCAGCGATGGATGTTTCCCTCTCACATCAGCGTTTCTCTCTCTCTCCCTCTCCTTTCCTTTCTCTCTAAAAAATCAATTAGAAAATCTTAAGGAAAAAAAAGTAAAACATCTCTAAGTTTATTTTAGTGGGGAGCTAAAGTTATTGGAGCAGGCACCTGGGAGGGAGCATTTACAGGGCATTCTCATGGCCATGCAAGATAGGGCTTCTCTTGGCGCTCACAAACAGTGATGAATTTGCCTTCTCACCTTCCCCTTAGCACTCTTGACTAATGAGTCCATCAAAAAGAGTTTGAAAGTGATACCTGTTCATGTTTCTCAGATTTTTATGTTAAGTATGGTGCTCTGAAGCCTATATTAAGAAATACTTTCTTTTTTTTTTCCAGATGATGATGATAGCAATTTACGAGTCTGGTATCATCTTGAGATCCATATCCACCCTGGGAAACCTGTAAACATTATTGAAATGAAATGTATTGCTATGGTAAGAGCCCATTAAATGGTCATAGATTTTGCCTTTTTGCAGACAGAGCTTTTAGTTGCACACTTAAATTGCTATCCCTAGAAAAATCCATATTAAATACTCATATTGAGATAAATTATTCAAATTATAGCAATCTTATTTTTAAATCCAATAATATGTACCTTGAAAGCTTATGGAAAAGATTTTTTTAGTTCGATAGTATCTTATAGTGGCTGCACTGATTAGCATTCTACCTGGATGAGTCGAGAGTTACTAGAACAATCTTAGCCTTCGCCTTCAGGCTTGCCCTCACATGTCTGATAAAAGCAGCATTGTGTCTCTGGACTTTTTCAGTACTGATTCTTCCTGGTTTCTACAGCTGGCCTTTCACTTTAAAACATATTTGGAGCAACTGACATAGATTTAGGGTTTTAAGTCTTACGTGAATTATTAAAGTGTTACTAACTCCATGTCTAGGATTATTTAAGAGTCAAATGTTGAGAGTCTTGGCTTAAATGAAACATGAAGGCAGTATTAATTGCTGTTAATCGTGTTTTCATTCAATTTAATTTCCTTATTGTTAGAACTCGAATATTTAAATCCATGATAAAGGTTATTTTAATTTTTAAATGTGAAGATAGATTTCTTTGTACAATTGATTATTTAGAATCTTGGACTTTTGCTCCATCAAATAGAAATAAGAAAATACTTAAAACACTTTTAGTCTATAAATCAATTACTTGCCCATCTGATTTCTGGGTAAATTTCTACTGAGGCATAGAAAATGGATGACTAAACTCTTGAAATGCACTCAAGTATACATTGCAAGAGCAGTCTTTTCTAAATGGAAAATTATTTAATATGATGATGGCAGGATCATTTCACTCAATGAAAATGTCCTGTTTCCGTTACCCTGTTATCACTGCAGAATAAAATCTTTCTTAAAGGTTATTTTTAAAGGACATCATTTTAACTATGAAACCATTTGCTGTGGAAAATGATTACTAGATTAAAAGTCATCTCTTTATCAGGATACAGGAGGAAAAAAATATATATATATTTTTAATCCTCACCCAAAGATATTCTTTCCATTGCTTTTCAGAGAAAGTGGAAGGGAGAGAGAGAGAGAAACATTGATGTGAGATCGATTGGTTGCCTCCCACATGTGCCCAGATAGGGGCTGGGGACAAAGCCTGCAAGCGAGGTATGTGTCCTTGGCCAGAATCGAACCGGGGACCCTTCAGTCCGAGGGCCGACACCCTAACCACTGAGCAAAACCAGCTAGGGGGAAAAATATTTTTAAATTGGGACCAGGAGAAATTGGGTCCATGGGGGCTGCCTCAAAAAGGGGAAGACATCGGCTTCCTTATGAACCGTATGTTTAGGGATAGAGATGAACAGAAATATGCAACACGAACTGGCAAATATAGACGCCATTCTAAAATTAATCACAAACAGCTGTTGCATCTTCTCATGAAATGGTACATAAAGTGCCCTTTCAGGGGAAAGAGCTATTAACTTCAAGACAATACTGGTAGAAATTGAGACTTTCATAACTCTTAGCTTCTCATGGTGAAGATTGTCACACAGGTTGAGAAACACACACCAGCATGATGCTTTACGTGGACGCTTAAGGAGACTGAGCAAAAAGCAAAAATAAACCATCACCTGTCTTTTTTAATGCACTTCAAGTATGTTTTCATTCTTAAAATTTAGATTTGTACATACCATTTTGGGAATATATTGTTCTTATGAATGATGTACTTTCAAATGGGCCCTTCTCAAGTTTCTGTAAGGGACTTCCCCCTCCCCATGCAATAATTTCATTATTATTAATTAATCCTAATTTAATACAACATTAGGGTACCAATAACTCTTCTTATTTGTATGTTTCAGATTATTATCAATTATACTATTGTTTTTATTTTTCACTGTGAATATTTAGCACAGTTATTTCAGAAAGACATTGAAATAATTTCCCTTCAAGGTCTACATGAAAATGCAAGTTTTGAGCCCCCATTCTTTTTTCTTTTTTTTTTAAAGCCTAAAGATTTGTATCTTTATTTTATTTTATTTATTTATCTATCTATCTATTTATTTATTATTTATTTATTTATTTAAAACTATATTGATTTCAGAGAGAGGAAGGAGAGGGAGAGATAGAAACATCAGTGATGAGTCATTGATCGGCTGCCTCCCGCACGTCCCCTGCTGGGGATCGAGCCCGCAACCCGGGCCTGTGCCCTGACCGGGAATCGAACCCCGATCGCCTGGATCCTAGGTCGACGCTCAACCGCTGAGCCACGCCGGCTGGGTGAGCCCCCATTCTTTTGCCTAGTTTTACATTACAAAGCAGGGGCAAAGCTTAGCACCATCAGTATTCTGTACTAATGTTCACTTTCAACTGAGTCTGGTGGGGAAGTGGAGCCTTTTTCCACTAACTCTCCGCACAGGCTGCCGATAACGGTGATAATGTTGCCAAGGCATGGAGCTTTGCCACCTTCCTAATAGTGATTGCCTAAGGTAAAAACTTAGGAGCTCTTAATGCATGGACCTGAAGATTTAGTTGGTAGCGACGGTATGGGTTATTTTAAATAATCCCATTAAATAAACTTTTGTGCATTTCTTGAAGAAGATGCTTTCTGAATACTTTCTGAAGTACATTAGAACTGTTGTCCTCACCTATCTATTGTTCTCTAATAGTTCTCACTACACTTGCTGTTTTTGCTAAACTTCTGAGAAATATTTTACTTAAACCTTAAATCATCAGATGTAGCAATGGAGCTTTCAAGATACTAAGCCATCAGTGATTTTCTATCTGCTTCTCAGCTTTTGTTACATTAAACCCAATTTCCACATCTTCCCTAGAGATGAATGAATGGTTAGAGTCTCTCTAAAATAGGGTTTGTGTAAGAAATATTGAGACCCTGAGGCACATAAATTTGGTTACTTCTTACAGCAGGTTCCCAAAATCAGATTACGTTCACAACAAACAGTAATTGGTTGTTAGTAGTTCATTTTCTGTTGGGGTAAACTATTTAAGATTTCTCTTGGAAATTTTAACATGTAATATCTGCTGCTTCATTTTGTTTGAACTCAAAAATCTCTTGTATGTTGTATAGTTTGGCTGTGGGAGAATGATGAGAGTAATCCACTGTCTTCCCATTGATGCTCAATAATTCCAGTATATAGCAATGAGCTATATTTTCTGAAAACAAAACTTAAGTATGTGAACAAAATTTTATATGCTTTAAGTTTTAGATCAGTCATAGCCTTCATAATGTTTGCTCTGTTGTCAGTNTGAGCCCCCATTCTTTTGCCTAGTTTTACATTACAAAGCAGGGGCAAAGCTTAGCACCATCAGTATTCTGTACTAATGTTCACTTTCAACTGAGTCTGGTGGGGAAGTGGAGCCTTTTTCCACTAACTCTCCGCACAGGCTGCCGATAACGGTGATAATGTTGCCAAGGCATGGAGCTTTGCCACCTTCCTAATAGTGATTGCCTAAGGTAAAAACTTAGGAGCTCTTAATGCATGGACCTGAAGATTTAGTTGGTAGCGACGGTATGGGTTATTTTAAATAATCCCATTAAATAAACTTTTGTGCATTTCTTGAAGAAGATGCTTTCTGAATACTTTCTGAAGTACATTAGAACTGTTGTCCTCACCTATCTATTGTTCTCTAATAGTTCTCACTACACTTGCTGTTTTTGCTAAACTTCTGAGAAATATTTTACTTAAACCTTAAATCATCAGATGTAGCAATGGAGCTTTCAAGATACTAAGCCATCAGTGATTTTCTATCTGCTTCTCAGCTTTTGTTACATTAAACCCAATTTCCACATCTTCCCTAGAGATGAATGAATGGTTAGAGTCTCTCTAAAATAGGGTTTGTGTAAGAAATATTGAGACCCTGAGGCACATAAATTTGGTTACTTCTTACAGCAGGTTCCCAAAATCAGATTACGTTCACAACAAACAGTAATTGGTTGTTAGTAGTTCATTTTCTGTTGGGGTAAACTATTTAAGATTTCTCTTGGAAATTTTAACATGTAATATCTGCTGCTTCATTTTGTTTGAACTCAAAAATCTCTTGTATGTTGTATAGTTTGGCTGTGGGAGAATGATGAGAGTAATCCACTGTCTTCCCATTGATGCTCAATAATTCCAGTATATAGCAATGAGCTATATTTTCTGAAAACAAAACTTAAGTATGTGAACAAAATTTTATATGCTTTAAGTTTTAGATCAGTCATAGCCTTCATAATGTTTGCTCTGTTGTCAGTGATAATTGTGTGACTATTTCTTTACTTATTTTTTTCGTTGTATAATCAACCTGCAATTAAATTCACTCTATTGTTAATGGCGAGACCTAGAGATCTCTCCACAAGCTAGTAAGAGAGGAGCACAGTGAAAGGCACAGTTAATCTACCTGTTGTGAAATATAGAAACATTAATACAAAACAACATATGTGAGTTGCCAACCATTTTCAGTATCTTTTTAGTTTAAAATTTTAGCTCTCATAATATGAAAAATACATTTTCAGGTACTCATTTTGTTATGTATTTTCTTCTTTCCTTTATGTTTTTATACTGTTTATTTTTTCTGGATGAAAAATCATATATCATGAGCATTGTACATGATACTGAAATTTTTCTTCCTCATGAAATGTTAAGGTAGGAAAAATAAGCATTCTGCTTTGAATTTATCTTGACAGGTTGTGAAAAGTTCTTAAACTGGATTTTACAAAAGCATCTCATGGCTTCTTGCATTAAATCACAAATATATATATGTGTATATATATTGCTATGATATAGATGGATATGTAGTTAGACAGATCTATATATGTGTGTGTGTGTGTGTATAGAGAGAGAGAGAGAGAGGGAGAGAGAGAGAGAACCTATAAGTTATGTTAAGCAGCTAAGTAGGAATGTACTTCCTAGGGACCGGTCCCTGCAATTAGATATCTTTCTATTGTCACTGCCTTTCATAGCCCCCCCTGTCCGTCCGTCCCCGCCACAAGATTATGCGAAATGTCAGAATAAGTGTGAACAAACCTATGGACACTACAGGCATTTCTGGGTTTTTCACAACTCCTTAGTGCCTACCGGTGCATCCTCACCCCCATGTCACCCCCAATCTGGCATTAGCACCCACCTCTGCAATCTTCGTGGCTCAGGCTGAATGGCAGAGGATTAGAGATGGGGGGTGGGAGGCATGACTTCAATAGGTACAGTGACATGCAGGTGGCAGGAGCAGAGGAATGACAATGGTGTTTCTAATTTATAACCACAGACCTGGTTCCTCTGAGTTCTTAACTGTTGGCACTGAATTTTCAATTTTGGAAAATTACTGAGGCAGATTAGAGTTATCACTTCCTCCAAATTACATGGTAATTTCAAAATCCCCTTTGGAACAGTTTACTTATTGACTTTAAGGTTATCAAATTGAGTAAAATTACAATTGAAAATTTTCTCAATAATATACATTACTTAATATTATTGTGCGTTTTGGACCTCAGAAATAATTCTTTTATAATGAACTTATGATTGTCTTCTGGGAGAGAAGATGGTGAAAAAATATTTCCTGCTAGTGCATATTGAATTGCTATTGACGCAATTAAACTTTTATGAGCCAAAACATAATCTTTATTTACTCAGACGCATTGAGAGTAGGAAGTATGAAGTTTTCAGTGCAAATACTCAGTGAATTAAATTTTTCCTGCTCAGAGTGTGTGAATGTAATATTTATCCACTCATTTATTTATACAGAGGTAATCAAGGAAATGTTTGCTCCATGGACAAAGCTGCGATGTCTATCTTGAAGATGCATTTTGTGAATAACTAATTCTCTCCCCATCATCACCTGTCCCCACCAGCTTAGTAATAGGGTTTTGTGTGTGTGTGTGTGAGTGTTTGTCACTCCTGTAATGTGATTTGATAAATCTCAAAATAGCTCCATGTCCCAAAGTACATACATTGCCATTTTTAAATTGTAACGGAAACATCCAACATTCTTCTTTTTATTAGGTTAAGGCATTCTAGACAACTGGTCTTTGCTCAGATTGAGATATGTCCTTTCTAGTATTCACCTTTAACACATTTGCTTCAGTTAATGGCTTTCACTGTAGTGGAAACCATGGCTGTCATGGGATGAAATATAAATTATTAGCCAGGATGGGTCAAAATGAAGATCAGGAAGTGTCTTGGAACTTGAGGAGTGCCTTCTGGGGCTGAGTGTGTAGCTAGGGGGTCAGGACAGGAGAAACCAAAATAGAAGAAAGGACTCTAAACAGGAAGATAGTCATATCATCAGTATAATTTGACTTCTTAATTCAGATCGTCCTTCCTGCTTGATGCTAATGTGCAGAGCTACTTGAAGTATGTCCCCTAGATCAGCAGCAGCAGCCACAGTGTTTTTTCTAAAAACATTATATATTTCTATATAAGTTTTCAGGCTCCATCCAAGATCTACTGAATCAGAATCTTTGGAGTAGGGAGCCAATAGTCTGTGCTTTAGCGACCTCTGCAGGTGATTCTCCTGCATGCTGAAGCTTAAGTACCACAGCTAGAGGAAAATGACAAGCGCTCTTCCTATTAATAATGGTACTGAGGAAAAATATATTTTAAATGCAATTTTACAGTGTCCTTAGAATTTAGATAGACAGATCTTTTGGAGTACTTGTTGTTGAAAACAGTGTTACCATTTACCAAAACTAATCAAGGAAAACAAACGATTAAATGCAAGTGAGATACATTCGGTAGTGGACCAAGGGGATATATAAAACAAATGGCCTTATATCGCACCGAAGTTTTCTTCGCATTTGCTTCCGTAGAACAACGAGTCTGTGCTGACATTAAGAGCTGATTGTATTTGTAATATAATTCTAGGAGAGCCTTTGTTTTGAAATACCTCTCCATAATGCAAATGAGAAAACTCTTCACATAGAAGTGCTGTTATCAGATCCAGCCCTTAGTGGACTCAAAAAATTTGTGCTAAATCCAGAAGAATATATTGACTATGCTGTATGCTATACTCCAGCGGCTACAGGCTGTAGAGAGGAAAGGTATGGTTTCAGGATGGCGTCATATTTTATTGTTGATTTTTTGAAATTAAGCTTTTAAAATGATTATTTGCGTGCTATAATCATTTAGGTTACATTTGTTCATAGTTTTAGCTTTTAAAAATACCATTCATTTATAAAATGCACTAATTTAGAGTTAGCATTGTTTTCTCCAATGCAAAAATATCATTTATTGGAATATCAAATTAAATAATTCCCAAATTACTCTTTATATACCCTCTTTCATTCCACTTTTCACTAACCAAATTTTTCTAGGTGCAAAAATCATCTAACACAATAAATACACTGTAGAGTATTGGTTGTAGCCCAGGAAAAGACCAAAATTCAAAATTTTAATTATGGTTTCCACTGAATGCATATCGGTTTTGCACCATTGCAAAATTGAAAGATGGTAAGTCGACCATTTAAATTGAATCATCGTAAGTCAGAGACCATATTTGTGTTTACACACACACATACACACACACACATCACAAACATACACCAATATATACACATACATTAGCAGTGCAATGATAAGTGTTTTTATAGCATGATAATTATGAAAAACTTAGTACTGTATACTCAGGTACATGCACACACAAACACATAACCTCTATGTTCATGATTATTAATTCGATTATAGTAACAGAATCAATTTTATTTGTTTCAAATTAATATCCCATTTATTTATTACATGTTTAATTCAACAAACAAATTGATTTAATCACAGTTTGAAAGTACAACTTTTTTTGTTATAGCTATTGCAAGGCATTTGAATTATTGAGATTTAAACATTTTTCATTGATTTAGCACATTTATTAAACAGATATTAATAATGGCACTATTTTTATTGAATAATGAGATGAATTTCTCATCAAAAATGAAAAAATTTAAAATGTACCTACAATGAGAGAATGTGTCACAGAGCCATTGTCAAATATTGTATTTGGGATATTTTTTATGCTAAATTTGTTACACAAACTAAAACAACTGATAAGATTTTGTATATTTTCTCTGCCAGCATTATTTTTCAGCCTGATAAGGTTCTCGAGTTCTGGTATGTCCTGAAATTTACTGTCGAATTACCAAATCCAACCATAATGCCAGAAATGCAGTGTGACCTTGGAAAGTAAGTTCCATTTCATAGATAAAATTATTTCATGAAAGTAAAAAACATTTATCTAAAAGAGTAGTGTCAGAATGTATTTAACATTTTTAAATAAGACACCAATATGTTTTTAATTGATTTTCTTTTCCAGGGAAGGTTTGATATTTAAACTACCCTTTGGAACACTTAAATGAAAGAAAAACAAGCCAGGACTTAGTAAGGAGAAGCTTTTACTGGAAATGATTATTGCAAAGGAGGGAAAGGGACTCTAGAAATAGTTGGAGGAGGGGACTGTTGCAGTAGGGAGAATGCCCTGGTCTCAGGAACATGCAAGTGTCTCAAAATGAAATAGCAGAAGCTTTTTATTTTATAGGGTCAAGGAGGCAAGCAGAGAGAGCTAAGCAGAACCTTTGAAAGGAAAACTAGACAAGTAAGGGAAGATGACTGGTGGGGACTGATAGGAAAAGCATCTCGCTGGGGTAAGCTGGTTCCCAGGACAAGCCGAGAGGGGAGGCACGTTCTGCTCTTTCTGTGCTCGCTCAGGCTTGGAGACAAGCAGAGTCAGGAGGCCTGCAGGAAGGGGAGAAACGGAAGTTTGCTTAAGGGAAGCAGAAGGGAAGCATAGGAAACTGAAAATTCTCGGTCAGTTGGTTAATGCCATATGCCCTTGAGATCTGAGCACTTATATTTAAGCGGTGAGTTCTCATTGCATGCCTGGAACCAGCGCTGGTGCTAGTACACAGGGATGACCAAGTCACGGTTTCTGTTAGTGGGCAAATCAGTGCCTTCTCACCAGTTTCTCTCCCTTAGCGCACCAAGAGAGTGTTGAAGTCTCCTAACACCGGATCTGGAACCAGAACCTCACTGCAAGGGATTTATTAAGGAAGTGATCCCAGTTAGAAAAACCAGTAAGAGAATAGGGGAGTCAGGATAAGAAAAGGGAAGAAGCTAAGCAAGGGTGTGATTTCAGGCACCGGCCCAGACTTTAGCTCATCCTGCAGAAAGCTCTGGAGCATAAATTACCTCTCAGGGTTGGTCTTGTCTTGATGCCAAGACGCTGGGCTTTTGAACTCCCATACTAGTCACTAGAAGCGCCCTTGGGATGAGCTACAAACTCCCAGACACTTCTGCTGCAAGGCTCAGGAGGCTCCAGGACCCAAAGGTAATCATCTGAAGGTCTCAGATGGGAGATGAACCGCAAGAATTCGGAAGTTGGGGGATGGGGGGCAGAGAGCTGATAAAAATCTTCTAGGGGAACTGAGTGGGGCACCAACAGTGTCTACTACAAGTTGTTTACAAACTTATTTCTAGTTTTATTTTTTTTCTTGTTTTAAAATATACATTAATATATGAAAGCTATATCTATGTATAAATATTAATGTAAGACAATTTCGTGAAAATATTTGGCTCGGAGTTTTACGATCATGATTTTTTTCATTGCATTTAAAAGCACTAGCCTTTTCTTTTTCTTTTAGGTTCTTGTTATTTTTGAACATGGTTTTTTAAAACTTAATTTGTTTTTATCTAAGTCATGCTGTGTATAATTATTGATTTTTTTTTGTTGTTAGAGAAAGAGTAAGGGAGAAAGATAGAAACATCGATGAGAGAGAGTCATTGATCGGCTGCCTCCTGCTCGCCCCGACTGGGGATCAAGCCCACACCCCAGGCAGGTGCCCTGACCGAGAATCCAACTGATGAACTCTTGGTTCATGGGTTGATGCTCAACCACTGAGCCACACCAGCCGGGCCGTACTGTGTATAATTAAAAGACATAATATTTAAAGATACTTGGTAGTAACTAATTTTTTAACCAGCCTTGTCTTGGATCCGTATCCTCTTCAAAGTTTGCATGGGTTTTCATTGTACCCAGTGTCCTTAAAATTCTTAATATGCTGGTGTGGCTCTATTTTCATGCATTTTTCCAGGTAGTTGGGATCTCTTTCAAAATGGAAACAAATGACATAATTCGTGTTTCTGGAAATCTCAAATTATGCCATCTCTCTCTTTTCTCTCTTCTCTCTTTCTACAACATCTATGTTTTGGATTTATAACTCGGGGGCTATTTTAATAATGTTCTTACTTTTTTTGCCTTTCCCCCCAACATTTGTGTTTTTGCATTTAGACAGATTTACTCAGTTTTATGTTCCAATCTTTTTGTTGAATTTTCATGTCAGCTATCAACAGCCAAGACCAGTTTTTGTTTTTGTTTGTGTTTGGATGCTGCTTTTGCGTGTTTTAAAAAATATAATGTTTTGTTCTTATTTCATGTTTGTAATATCTTCTCTCTATCCCTTAAGGTATGAATGGTCATCTTTAGAAGCCATGGTTTTCATCTTAATGCTTTGTTCTTTCCTGTTAGAAACTTTCTCTGGTACTTGTTTTATTTATATTTATCTGTGAGGCTTCAAATTGATAGTTGGGTCTTATTGGACCATTCATGTTGTTCTTTGTGCTGTTCCTCATTTGTTTCGCTCACTGCAAAAAAGTATTCCTTTTTATTGTTGATGAACCTTTTTTCCAGGTTTGATATATTATGAAAAATATTGTTTATAACACTGTATATGCTTTTGCTGCACATTTGGGCTCATTTCTGTTGTGTATAACATGGGAATGTAATATCATTGAAATTGAGTTGATAATTACAAAAAGTTTGAAATTGGTTGTACCTTTTTACACTCCTACCAGTCACATATGAATTGTATGCACGTGCTTCACATTCTCAAAAACATGGGTATCGCAAGGCTAGTTTTGACCATTCTGGTGCGTGTGGAGTGGTACCTCAGTATACTTTTAATTTGCATTTCCCTCATGACTAATGAGGTCGACTCCCTTGTCATATATTTATAGACCATTTTGATAGTCTTTCTTTCAATTACAGTTTACATTCACTGTTATTTCATATTAGTTTCAGGTGACAGCGTAGTGGCTAGACAATACTGGTTTTCTTAGTGTCTGTACCAATTTGCATTCCCATCGACAGGGCGTCACTGTTTCCTTTTCTCCACATTTTCACCAATACATACCTTACTTAGAAAAAATCATCCTGGGACATAGCATGGAACAGACTGAGGCATCTCAGAGGGAAGGC